CTGGGATTAAATGTATGTGCCACCAACGCCCAGCCCAGAGCCCAGTTATTAATAGAAACATTCCATAAGTGATTCCTCCCAGCAGTGACTATGCTTGGTGACTCCATTGGCACTGTCTCAGAACTTTTAGTAGCTTTCTGTGATAGATGAGAGAAATGAGGTGCAGAGACACTACTGAGAAACCTGTCTGAGGTCACAAGGCAAGGAAGTGATGGAGTCAAGCTGTCAATAGAGGTGGGTATGACTCACACGTGCGGGCGCGCGCACACACACACAGAGGTTAGAGGAGAAATTCAAATGGTGTCCTCATCTGCCATCCACCTTGTTTTTGAGAAAGGATTCCTCATTGGCCTGGGACTCATCAAGCAGGTAAGTGACTGACCAACCTGCCCAGGGTCCTCTCTTCTTTTGCACTGGAGTCACAAGCACACATTTCCATGACTGGCTTTTTACATGTTGTGGGATTCCAATTCTGGTCTTTATGCTTAGTAGGCAAGCACTTTACAGACTGCACTATCTCCCTAGCTAAATATATGTATTTTGAGTGCACAAAAGACCACACACTATCCTCTTGTAATTTGTGCACAGCAGATGCTAAAAAAATATCACTTAAGGGCCAGTGAGATGGCTGAGCACATGAAGGCACTTTCCACCCATCCTGCCTATCTGTGTTTGATACCAGGAACCACATGGTAGAGCAGGAGAGATGGCTCCCTCAAGTTGTCCTCTGACCTCCACACAAACTCATGGAAACACACACACACACACACACGTACACAAATAAATAAAAATGAAAGAAGCCACGATAGGTGATTGGAACAGTGGTCTTCAGATAAAAGCCCCTAGAGAAAGCCTCTGTATTTAGCCATTCAGTCTTCTCTGGGTCTGGCCTTTCGGATCATTATGTTTTCTTCAACACACAGGGATCAGTGTTTACTTGGTGGCAGAACTCATGCAAGACACAGGTCCATGAAGACGTTAGTAAGATGCAAGGCTCATCCTATTGCAGCAGGGATTCACAGGGGAGAACCAGATGTACCCAGCAGATCAGGAACATGGAGCAAGAGCACTGTGATAGTTTGAATATGTATGGCCCTCATAGGCTCACATATTTAGATACTTGCTCATTAGGAAGTGGCATTACATGGCAGGGATGAAAAGATGTGGCCATGTTAGAGTAGGTGTGGCCTTGTTGACTAGGTAGGCTTTGGGGTTTCAAATGCTCAAGTCAGGTCCAGTGTCTCTCTCTTTCTGCAATCTGCGGATCCATATGTAGAGCTCTTAGCTCCCTCTCCAGCACCTCTGCTTGTACACCCCTATGCTTCCCACCGTGACAACAATGGATGGCCCCGATTAAATATTTTCTTTTATAAGAGTTGCTGTGGTCATGGTGTCTCTTCACAGCAATAGAAACCCTAAGACAGGCACCCAGGGCAGGGGCACTGTAAGGGCACTGTAGGGGAAGCCCCTGAGTCAGGCTGGGGCTTGCACAGTACCCTATTCTTTAAGGCTGGGAGGCTGGGCACAAAGGCGTTCTCGGAGTTTGGAGGAGCTGCTGGGCTAGGTGTCTGCATTTGTCCCATCCCATCCCATGGAGAGTTACTCCCCAAGAGCCTGGGAGAGGGCCTGGCATCATTGCTGATTCTGCCCTGGGGAGGGATGAAGCCAATAGTCTGGTGTTCATGTCCATTCTCTACACACTGCTTGGTGGCCTGACGATGTGGAGCAATCAGCTCTGGGAAAATCAGCTTCTCTAACTGTAAAAGAGGATGGATAATAAAACCCCTGAACTGCAGAACCCTGAAGTGATGAAGCAAATTTGGGTAGAGAACCAATTTAACAGGATTAGTTAGCTTAGCTGTAAGCAGTACCTCTCCACACACTGCACCCTCTAGAGGGACCCTTGAGTCTTAGGAAGCTAGAAGAGGGTATGGCTGGGCTGGGCATTGGTGGCGCACGACTTTAATCCCAGCACTCAGGAGGCAGAGGCAGGCGGGTCTCCGTGAGGTTTAGACCAGCCTAGTCTACAAGAGCTAGTTCCAGGACGGCCTCCAAAGCCACAGAGAAACCCTGTCTCGAAAAAAACAAAAACAAAAAACAAAAACAAAAAAGGGGGAGGAAAATGAAAATCTCCTCGAGCGCACTATCCACTGTTATCCCCAGCCCCCACAAAGCTCAGCTCATAATGTATATGGAATCTGAGAATCTGCTGAGTTCACACTATGTGGTATTGTGAATGTTTAATATCTTTTGAAAATCTAATTTCTGATGGCTGTGTGCTTCCTATTTAAGAAGCAGACACTATGGCTTAGCTTTTCCCGCCGAAGCTGTTTTTCCAGCCTGCTATTATAAATAACGTTTCCAGGGACAAACCTGCTGGCTTTTAAAGTCCCTTTTCTGGTCGTTTTCCTAGCTATATTCCTACAAGGGGGTTAGTAGGTCAAAGGGCAAAGGGTGATCAAGAGCCTTGATAAACACTTGACAAGTGCGTGCATGAGAGATGCGCGTGCGCATTCAGCTCCAGCTGGCTTCTGGTCTTCGCTAGCACCAGCATTATTTTTAGTGTTTTCACTTTAGCAACTAGCTAAGCTCGCCCGCCGTGTGCCAGCGTCAGTGCTAAGCATTATGTAATGCCATCTTCACACACACACCTACAGGAGGGGACACTTATTTTGCAGATCAACAAACCAGCGGAGAGGCCTCCTCCAGTCCTTCAGGGTCGTTGAACCAGAAGGCAAAGGAGACCCTGACTCCTTCACTACCTGCACCTGGGTTCCCACCGGGCTGCAGCATTTGTTTGTTTGTCACAGAGTCCCACTAGCTGGCTCTGAATTCGCGATCATTCGGCCTCCGTCCCTCTTGCATGAAGATTATAGGCTGGAGCCAGTATGCCCTTCCCTGCCCGAGTGTGTTTTCTTTTACTTTAAAATAATAGTGTTATTTTGACCCAAGATCTTGCTGTGCAGCCCCGGCTAGTCTGGAACCAGCGATCCTCCAGCTTCTGCCTCCCATATGCTGGGTTTACAAGCGCTTTCTGACTTGCCCCTGTCACCGCTCCCTTCCCAAATACCCCTGTCCTTCAAGGATGAAGCCCACCCATCCAAACACGCATGCCCCAGCCGTGGCCATCCTCCTGCCAGGGTGAGCCACTTTAGCGCAGTTAGCCCCAACTACTGCTCAACAGGTAGGTCCAGGTGATGTGTGAACCCCCAGTCCAGAGCCTACTGATCAGCGCAGTCACCTGACTGCAGCAAAGGTGATTTGGTGTCTGAGGTACCTAGCGCCACCGTGCGGCCGGTCCTCGAAGTCTGAGCTGCGGCAGTGTGGGGGTGATCCTGGGAGGGGTAACAGACAAGGTAAAGGAGACTGTCAAAACTACTTGGGATGAGGGAGTCCTCGGTATCTAGACCCTTGTAGGGGCAGGGTGAGAGCCAGTAAAGAGGATTATAACTGGGCCAGAGCTGGTAGCAGAGGCAGGATGATCTCTGTGAGTTCTAAGCCCGTCTGGTCTACAAAGTGAGTTCCAGGCCAACCACGGCTATGTAATGAAACAGAAAAGAAAATCAGGGACTGGAGAGTTTGCTCAGTGGTTAAGAACATTTGTTGCAAGCCGGGCGTTGGTGGCGCACGCCTTTAATCCCAGCTC